GCGCTGCCAGACAATTTTTCGTTTCTTCTAGCCATATACAGCTTTCGCTGTAAAAACAAACATGTAACCTGGTCGAAGACAGTGGTTCACGCTAGAATTTTCATGCGTCATTCATAAACATAGCGATAAGTTTGTCAGCACTAACTTGTATCTAGTGAATTGACATTAGAGCCAGACCATCAAGCCAGTCCTCAGTCGTCGGGTTCCTCAAATATGTTTTTACTCGGTGAGGTGGGGCAAGATTCAAACCAGTGTACCCATGGCCCAAAGGTTAGCATCGTAACCCTTTGGCTATCTAGTTTCTTTCTTTCTTTCTCTTCTTTTTTTAAGGTGTTCAACACAGATATGACGCTTAGAAGCGATTCTATACAGACAGAGAACTGACATGTTCATTCTGCTTGTATCATGGCACAATTATGAACACACAGCACTGTAGAATTCGCATTCAACTCTAAAGTGAATACATCAAGGAACAGGCTTTTTCAATTATACTACATTACAACAATGGTAAAAATGAAGACCTCACCATTGCAATCTACCATTCTGGCTAACATTTCATTCGCTTGTATACATCTGTTAACTTAGTGACCATCCTAATAAAGTGGGTTGTCGAGGGAACTATAGAATGTGCGTTTTTCTGCAACATGTGCACACGCTAGCTGAGTATAGCATAGCATAGCCTCGTGTAGTATAATATATGGCAAGGGGGTGGGAAAGAAGTTAGTGAGGAGAGAAAAGAGTAGGGGAGAACTAGTATAAAGTGAGAGAAAAAAAAAGAGAGGAAAGAAAGAGAGAAAAGGATAGACAGAAAAAATATGTTCACTGATTGTACAGGAGCATTCGCAACTTTACAAAGTTGTAAATGTGGATCCCAGTCGTCATTTTCTACTCATAATAAAATATTGAATCAGCACTCCCTAAACACCTAGGTATTGTTCTTTTCTATATGGTTTTCCGATGCGGGAAACTAATTATATTGGTGCATGTGTGGAGATTTATGCTTGAATATCTGAAGCGCACTGTCTGTACTAAGTATATAACTGAGACATACAAAAGTGCCTCATTCTTAGGCTTGTAGTAGACGAGCACGAAAGTTGCAATTAGATATGTGTAGTGTTGCCAGTGGTCTGGGAAAAGTTCATCTTGGTGCGTTTACTTTTATTTCATTTATCTATGTATAAGCTTCTGTCAGTAGTGTCAAATTCATTTATTATATGTAGCTAGATCTGAGCTTTAAATTGCTCACTTTACCTAGCTTCCGGATTATCTGGCACTATATCTTTATGAAAATTCAAATGTAACAATAATGTAAGTGACAGATTCTTGTTTTCTAAATGTAATTTTAACAAGTACTTTTCGCCAACAGGAACTTGTGAAGGGAACTTCTTTAAGAATTGAGAAGGAACGAAGAATGAGCTTTTGTTACTGTTTAGAGGAATGTGTATAGTGCTGCTCCAGCATTCATTTCTATACTACCTGTCTTCCAAATCGAAGTTCTGTATAAATATGTGACAAGAGTACAACCCTGTATAACTCTGTATTCAACCATTAATTCTTGTGGTATGAATTTTTTTATCTGAAGAAAAAAAGTAAAGATATGCTTCCAAGAATTCGTTCGTGCACTAGAAATGTGGAAAAACTTTTCAGACAAGTCGAATGCCACGCCGCTGTACCAAGTTATTGCAAAAAAGTGATGACAGGTATTTAAGGCAAAAAATGAATTTAAACTCTTTGGTATAAAAAAATCATTGGGTACATGTGGAATCGTCAGGAACTTACAAGTTAGCTAATGTAACAGTACATTATAGCACAAACTCGTTCCAATTATGTGCCAAGGAAATCCTGCTTCTGTTTAGCAGCTGCCAGGTTAAAGGTCACACCGCCCCAATCACTGCAACAATAACTAGTTCATTCACGCACAAAATAAAGTGAAAGCATTGAGACAGTAGATTGTGGAAGAAAGTAAAATTCTGATAGTCAGTGTGCATGCTTATTCTGAAAAACATAGGACCAATTGGTATTTGTTGCTGTGTGAGGTCTTTTACATATCACTGATACAAATATGTATACAAATACGACTGGTATGTGCTCATCTACCATCAGCGTCAAACGAACCCTGAACAGCAGCGAGCCTTCGTAATGGTATAGTGCGTGTTGTCATAGTTATCCCCATGGACAGGCACGTACATTTTGTTTGGCAGCTCTACGAATATGTGCGTGTCTGTTCATAGTGATAAGTGGGTGGCATGCACAATACCATCGTGAAGGCTTGCTGCTGTGCGGCTTTCATTTGACGCTGATAGTACACTAAACATATTTCTAAAACTTGTTTATGCAGCTTTAGATATCGAAGATTTGATGTCGAAATAGCACCTAATAAATTCTCATTGCAAAATTCTACTCATAATTTGTTACCAATGCTAAAACAGCATCTTTTTCTATATTACTATATTTAAAAGAGAATGTACTCACCTATTTATTCTTATTGTGAAAGCATTTCTATGCTAACAATCGAGATTTCATAGATGTCAGAAAGGAACATAAGGCTTCAGCTGAACTCAATGGGAAAAATGTTCCCGGTGAATGATCTGACCAGATGTTCCTTGGTTCTGTGACTCTTGCACGTGTTTGCTTATGACAGCCTGGCTTGGTGTTCCTTGCACCCAGTCTGATTCAGTTAGCATTCCTCATCTGTTTTCACAGCACGTCTGTCTTGCCTGAACATTCTTCAAGATTCCAACTGCTATTAGCATTGTCTCTGACTCTCGTATATGCTTTTGTACACTACTACTAGACTGCTTGGTGAACACAACAGGATAAATGCTATGGTTGGATAGTACTGGTGGGTGTACTACTGTGGCTATAGCTCCTAAAGGTAGAACACAAGCCCTTGGAACTGTGATGGCCGCAACCACTAGGCTAGGCCATGCAAGGGGAGAAGTGATCAGGAGAGAAGAACTGCCTTCGCGTCGCCTGGCCTGACTTGGTAGATTTGGCTACCATCTCAACAGATCAAAATAGGAACATCGGCAGAAGAAATGAGTTGAATACCTGGTTCATTGTGGAGCGTGTGTGAGTTAGTGGTAAAGTGCTTAAAGAGTGGAATATTACGCGGAGCTTTCGCAGAAGTTGTGTAAACATTGTCGCAGCTGTCCTAGGGAATGCAACCATGCAGCAATATGAGCAATGACATGTTATGTATGACACGTGTGGTGCAACCACACTTGTACACAGCACAGAATGATGGCGTGATGTGTGGTATCACGTGTGATATGACATCACGTGTACAAGTGGGTTTTTCAATCTCAAATGCATATGAATGTTTTAAAACTGATCAACTGAGGTGCAACTACAGCTCAACCCTTTTTTTTTTTTCACACACCTCTGCTGTTTTTCAGTCATCTACTGTTACTTCTTGCAATATTACAATCATTACATGTGCTATAGCTCAACCCCAAATTTTTAAGTCAGCCCACCCCCAAATTTCAAGTTGACTCAAGCCCATGTTTTTAATATTGGCACACCCCCTATTTTCTCAAGTTGCCCCCAAATTTTTTTCAATGGGCCTGGCTCCTAATTTTCAAGTGAGCCCCAATTTCATAAATTTCAAGTTTACCCACTCCCAATGTATGCTTTTTCCTTGCATTTTCTATGAAGCCCTATGTATTCCTATGGGAAACAAGGTATCATACTTTTTCGTGTTTTGGACATAGTCTTTGCTGCAATTTCCAGCAGACTACATGCCAAGAAATGCTTATGCGTTAAGATGTATTGAAGAATGAGCAGCCAAATAGAAATTATTGTGTGAAACAACTAACTGTGTTTCCCCCCCCCCCCCCCCCTTCCTGTCATGTCAATACGATCTGTGGTTAGACCAAAACTAGAAGAAGGGGCAGGGAAATAGGTAGATGCTTGTTAGAGATCAAATGGAAGCAATAAAAGCATAACAAAACAACAATGATGGCAAAATCTATGCCATCAAGCTTCTTCATATGTATACTGGTACTAGGAATACTGTTTGTTTATTGTATTTTTAGATGTGTGCAGGTCAAGTTTTGAACAGTGTGACTGATTATAGAATGAAGGATCTGAGGGGAGCTTTGTAGTTAGAAAAGTATAATATCACAAACAGCATCAGTGGCTCCAGCTGTTACAACCTTTCTCCTGTGTTCCTCTTTCGGCTTTCCTCTTTCGGGTTGTGCTTATGTGGTACATGTGAAACTTGCTACAATCACTTTCTTATTTATCTGATAGCATGTTTCTAGCTCTTGGATAGTTGATGGAGACTTCTTGTTTAGCTCTGGGGCCATTGAAATTGTTAATTTTGATCTTAAATTTGCCCTTATTGTATAGCTTGCTTAATGCTGACAAATACTAACCGTTTAGAAGTTAGCTTGTTTTGTTCTGAATTACCAGCTTGAATCCATATGAATGCTAAATGCCTGAAAATGTACATGCTACAGATTGACATTTTTGTGAATGTGTATTGGAAGCATATATCTGTTTTTAAAGGTTTGATGGCTGTTGATATTGTTAGCCAATCATTAGGCTTTCCCATTAAGTTTGTGTGCATGTTTGTGTCTATGGACGCATGCATGGCTAATAAACATGTCGTAACACTGACCTGCAACCATGGGTGGATCTAGCCACTCATTTGAGGGGGGGCGGTTGTCTGAAGTAACACCGATAAGGGGGGCGTGGTCATGACTTTTTTTTTGTTTTTTTCTAGCAGAAATACCCCTTCATAGCATAAATACTGTTAATGTTTGCTCACAGTATTTCACTCATTAGTGCTAATTGGTGATCGGAGGTGGACAAAAGCACTGAAGTGAAGAGGGGGGGGGGTGCTGACACAGACATTTGGGGGAGGGCAATCGCCCCTACTGCCCCTCCTCTGGATCCGCCACTGCCTGCAACTTCATAAAGTTGCTGCTCATTGCATAATAGGTTTAATTTTTTTTTTTTTATCTCTGAAGTTGTTCTTGGTTCATGTTCTGCAGGGGCCTAAAGTGGGACACAGAGCTGGGTGATGGCAATCGTGTAATCACAGTAAGACATCTTCTGAAGGAGCTGTATGAAAAGGTAGGAGAGGATTTATTTGTTGTAGATGGAACTGTTAACTCAGAGAGGTTGTCATTGTTTCAGGCATACAAAGAACACAAGTGGGGTCTTGTGAGACATGTTGCTGGCCTTCTGGGAAAGAAGGTTGAAGACCTGGCAAAGGTAAAGCCTCTTGAAATATCAGTGAATGGGACATTTCATTGGATGAACAGAAACACTTAAAGCTACCTGAAAACTACTCTGCCTTTGTTGCACCATCTGGCAGAAACACAAACCACTGTGAGAATAGCATTATTTCTTCACTAAGAGGACAACCGTCTTGTAGGCCATGTAAGGCAGGTAAGAAAATCGTGGTTGAGGAACCAATGATGTGGATGGTTGAGACAGGGGCTGGTTCTCTATCTCAGTAGGCCTTTGCTGCCCTGTATAATCTGCAGGGGTCATTAGAAACTGTGAAAGCTTGTCAGAATGTTTTCATCTATGCCATGTTATCTGCTCAGCATCTTCTTATTGTCCAGTCTGTACCAGTTTCCATAAAGCGATGCAACAAATGTTTGGCACTGTAACTGTAAGCTGCTTTTACAAGTATACAGCAGTAAGGCTTCAATTAATCTGTAATCTTCATCAGCAATGCCTTGCAGCCTTCTTAGGCAACAGGAGTCAAGCACCCCTCCAAATATACCCATGCGGTATCGTCTGCTCACTCTGTCATTGGCATTTACTAGATAATGTCCTGACATACCATACTTGAGAGGTGTAGCGCAGAGAATTAACAATGTAGTGGATAATGTGGCTTGTATAGTATTCTGAACAAATAAAATTTATAGCATATCTACGGAATGAATGATGATGTGTGGGGCAAAGCGTCTGTCAATCCCTCTTTGCGTCTGTCCGTCCGTACATGCACCTTTGCGTGCGTCCGTCCGTGAATCAGTCCATCCGTACGTGCACCCATTTGTGCATCCTTTCGTGCATCCGTCTGTACGTTTATTCATCTATTCATCATGTGTTTGTCTGTCTGTTCGTGAGTCCATCCGTCCATCTTGCGAACACTTCAAGTACTGCCATCTCGCTTCTTTTTATTATATATTCATCATATGCAAGTACCGCCATTTAGCGGACAATTCAAGGACTAAACGGGAGTATGTACCACATTTCTGCTGTCAGCGCTTTGTTAACACCGAGAGCATAATAACGATGCTCTTAGTGCTAACGCTTTCGGATATGTGCCCGAGGGCGAGTATGTGCCACTGGTAGGGGGGTATGTGCCACAGGTTACACACAACTACTGGGTACGCACAAGCCACGCCATAAGGAGCTTCGCCCTTAAAAAAAAAAAGAGGGGGGGGGGGGGGGGGAAGCACAGATAGAGGGGCCCCCTTTTTTTGTTATACACAATCATATAAAGACAACAGATGAACCCAAGGAAAGCAAAGGGTGCATTTTGGTAGTTTTCAATTCGGGGGAAATAATTATGACAAGGAGAAAGAAAGTGCTGAGGAAAAGCATATAAGTGACCATCAGTGGGGACACCCATGTCACGAAATGTGTGGGTTTGCAGGCAAAAGTGTGGTCGCTGGGGTTGCTTTCTTGCACTGTGTGCCAGAGGGCCTTCAAGAGCAAAACAAACTTATTCTTTGTGTAAAACATAAGCAGGGGTTTCAGCTTCAAATGCAATTTATTTGTGGCATGTTCCTTAACCATTAGCTGAGCATTTTGTTCTCATAATTCAAGGAAATATTAGAACTTGTAATAATTAAGGCTTACTAATTAATATAATATTAGGGTTCTACTAGCCTAGGAGTATCCTCGTTACTTTCATCATCATTTGAAGATGCCCTACAATCAATATCATGTCCACTGAATGAGAGTTTGTAGACAGTATTGAATTTTCTTAAACAGCATGAGCACCTTTATCCCCAGTCTACTATGTGCAAAGCAAGAACATTTGAGCGGCCTTAACTTTGGGACATCACCTGTTCGATAAAAACAAAGCTGTCCAACAGTCATAGTTAAGTATAGTTCTATGTAGCTAGAATAGCTAGGGTATGGATATTTGATACTGGATATTTCTAATTATTTCAAGAAATGTAGGGAGTTTGCAGGAAATTTGACATGGTTTTACTTTGGCATGGTCAAAGGTTTTCATACTTGATCAAGTCATTCGAAGGGCTAAAAGCCAAAAGAACAAAGTTGAGGCAAATTTAAGTGCTATCCACCATTCTCATGCTAGCTAAATATTCATGCTCTTAGGTCTTGGGGACAAGTGCCGCATTTTTCTCCAGTAACCTTTGTAAAAAAACTTCACGACACATGTTACAGTTGGCAAATGTAATGGAATTTTTCGTGACTCTGTAGGTCGCAAAAGCTACTGCTGACTAAAACTTTTTAAGTTCACATCCCTGTCTAAGCAGGAATTAAGTTTAATTTCAAATCTTGTGGCCTGTTAATGTATTGTTGCTGGATGTAAATGTTTTGTGTCTTTTTGTCTATCTCTTGGGGATGTATGCTTTTGTCTGGCATAGGATGTGTTGAACATCATATGCTCGCATTATGTTATTTCACACATTGCCAATTTGCATTTTTTATATATTTAGCACTTTTTGTAGCGATATAAATCTCACTTATTGCGTCTCATTTTGGTAGACTTGATGCCTTCAGGTATTATGCAAGGTATTTTTGGCCAGCTGCTAGGTTGTGAAAGCATCAAATGCTACGTGGCGCCAGCAGGCAGAAAAAGTGTTCCACCCTTGCCGTCATGGCTGGCACTGACGAACCTTCCCAAGTTTAAATGCACAGATATACCTAATGAAATTAACAGGGGCATGACCACCATCATAAACCAATCAATAGAGCACCGGAGGCGTAATTCGTAGGTTACAAGTTTGGTGTCTGCCAGCAGCAAGTTACCTCATCCCCCACTTTACTGTCTTCACAGTTACATCATAATTATTACAAGTAACATTCCCTATACTTTCTTTGGCATTACTGTCTGTGAGTTCTCATTAATATTACTTTAAAATGATACAGAGCGATAACTTTGCAGGGCAGTGTTTCATGGCAGAATTAAGGTCTATCTGCTAAAAATGACAAATGCAACAAATAGATTTGAAAAAAAAAAGGGGGGGGGGGGGGGGCGAGCAACATTTTTTTTCAGCGATTTTCAGTTGTGCCTAGCGCCCTAGCGAATGTCAGTAGTAGCTGCATGCAATATGTCGCGACAACCCACGTGCGCGTGGCCGCAGCAGCCGTGGGGACTGCGGTGCTTGTTCATTTCTGTCGGCACTACTCACTTGCAATTGTGGTACATCTGAAAAGTTGAGTAAATTTATCTCTTTGTATGACACGTGCTTTCCCACAGTCTAGCGTTGGTCGTCGCAGAAGGAAAAATGCAGCTACTGCTGCACTGAAGGCTGTCATAACACCATCATCGGTCGCGATGCACCATCGCATACCTTTTCTAAAGGTGACAATCTGCGTCAAATTCGGATACGTAGTGCTCAGCTATTCTGCCAAATATCGGCACATTTAAAAATTGACCTCGTAAGCTAGGAATCAATAGACAATTTTACGTTAAAAATAACGACAGCACTTGCAGGAGAGGAAACACATAGACAGGACATTTATGTGTTTCTTCTCCTGTTCATCTGGTGGTTATATTTGGTGCAAAATTGACCATTGATTCTTAGAAATACACAAACTAGCTAGCCCAACAGTGAGTTTTACGCATAAGCTAGCTTGAACAAATTTACGCCTCACTGAGCTGCGTCTGAAAAAAAAAGGGGGGGGGGGGGTAGCAAAAGCATGGGATGGTGGTGCCAGCTAGCCACTGCGAGGCTTGCTTTGTAAACAGGGCTTCTTTTAGAATATTCCAGGCTCTCTGATGAAGTCAACCTATCTCAATTAATTGAACCTGTGAATGGGTTTTAGTAGCATGGATGTTAAAGTAGCTGCTGTATGCATAGAGCTATGAAACAACTGAGAAATTTTCTCATGCGGCGCCTCGTCGCACAACAACAAACCGCACAGTGCTCAATTGCTGACTGAAGGGGTAACTAAAAAGTGTAAACCATGATGTCTTGATTCAGCCGTAAGAACTAGTACCTTGCCTCACGCAGTGGTCTGGTGGCTAAGGTACCCGGCTGCTGACTCGCAGGTCGCAGAATTGAATTCCAGCTGCGGCGGCTGCATTTTCTATGGAGGCAAAAATGCTGTAGGCCCGTGTGCACTGATTTGGGTGCTTGTAAGAAATAAGCGCAACACTCACGTAGAGGCAGGCAGGCACTAGCCTAAGTTAACGCATACCTGTCTTTACGTGTGTGTCGTGTTTCTTTCTTATATGTGTTGTGCTAATACATATTATGATTATAGATGACCAACTCGCTCGAGCATCATCCTTTATGTCCTATTGCTTTTCTCTACAGGCGGTGACAGATCTGCTTGTACGGCAGAAGCAAGTTACAGTAGGCATGCCACCATTGAATGAATACACTATCACTAGGTAAGCTACATGTGGGTGTGCTCTGCTTGCCTCTCTCTTAACATTTCTCTCTCTGACGTTGCAGTAGATGCACTTTTATGCTTTTCCTTATCTGTCATATACAGGGCTCTTTAGTGGCATTTCAATGTGTTCACGGTGGCAGATTCAGGGACTAACACATTTTTGTGATGTTTGTAGGCCACAGCCAGCGAAACAGCTTCGTATTATCATTTACAAAGCCCATGGCGCTGATAAAAGTGCGGCTATGTTGACCCAAGTAAGGCATCTGGTTCACTTGGAAGCTTGAGGTGTGCTCCCACTGCCTGCCTGCCTGCCTGCCTGCTGGCACTTCTTCTGTGGCAAGCACTCTTTCAAGCATGGCATGGTACTCACCCCATCATTCACTTGAATGGCACACACTCCTTGTCCTGGAGCTTATTGCCAGTGCTATTCTTTATGTTAGAAGTGCAGCATGTTTGCCTGCTCTTTAATTTTTTTATACTGATGGCCTTATGTTATATGTATATTTTTTGTTTTTTTTCCTCTGTAAAATAACTTATTTTGCTTGATTAAGGAAGAAGGAGGGGTATCCTGAATGCAACATCATGGTAGGTCTGCTTAGACTCTCACCAATCTTGTTTACTGTGCACTTGTAAGAAATCATATTAGTAGTCTTATTATAGTTCACCTACTTGTGTAGGATTTGTCCAGTGGCTGGTGTTGTGGCCAACATTTCATATTGTGAAGGTGTTTCGTCAATGCTGTTTACAAAAGGCATGAATGTGAAAAATATGCATGAAAAAACACCCTTTTGAAATTGAAAAGAAAAAAAAGTGATATTTTCAAACTTTGTCCTACCCTGTGCCCTTAATGTCTAACAAGGATGTGCAGTAATTGAAGAACAGGTTGGAACTTTATGAGAACTCTCTGTTATATACATCTGAATTTGTCAAATGTGTTCAGCATAGAAGAAAAAAATCTCCGGAAATATTATTGCTACACACTGGTGATGCAGTGCTTTTGCATCTGAAGGTGTTGTAGTTGGAATGAGTGTCATTATTTTTAACAGTGAAGCTGTTCTTAGTTGAGTATTTCAGGTCAGGGGGCCTTCGTAATGGTGATCGTAAGTGGGTATGTGCCGCAGAAATTGGGTGAATCCTGTGACTTGCCTCTGGTTAAGTAAAAATGAAGAAAAAAAGCATGTATGCACCACACTAAATGGGCCAATTCTGCTACTCACCACTGGTTCACTATTAATGAAGAAAAAAAGCTCATCATCAAACAGGTATGTGCCACTGAAATCTGGTAAATTTTACTACTCGCCACTGGTCCACAAAAAATGAAGAAGGCAACAGTTGAAACATTTTTATAAACCTTTGCATAAGAGTGGTATAGTCAAGATGCAGTAAAACTTGTAGCGTCTCTAAGTGAGGCAACACGCTCTTGGAGTGAACAAACACACAGCAGATGTGGTCGGACCGAAGCAAACAAGACACATTTATTCAATTAGTTTTAGAACGACGATATCACCAACCAAATTAATACATCACTTACGATCAACACGCTAAAGCAACCTTACACAATATTCCACAACACTCAACAACCCGACTTGTCACGAGGGCCCACGGCAGATGACCCGCAGTGCCATCCACCGTGGACCCGTCGCAAGATGCAACTGTTCGCGCTAACTGCCAATGTGCTATAGAGAACCGCTCCCAGTGTTTCAAGAGTCTACTAATCAAACAAGCTAATACTAATTACAAAAGAAGCCCAAAAGAAGTGGGAAAGCAATGAATGTTCCCATGCGATGCTTGAATGAATAAACATTATTTTAAATGAGTTCGGCCGCTTACTTCTTGACAATGTTTTTAATTATGATTTAAAAAGGACACTCAGATACTAAGGTAAGTTTAAAAAATCACCTAATTATTTTGTAAAGCTAAAATATGCACAACTATGAACAAAAGCTCATGGCTACTTTTTAGCATATCTCCAGGATAGCTTTTCATGTGGATGAAGGCACATTTGCCAGCGCATGATTAATGTTGCTTGTTGATTCAACCGATGTACGTGTGACTTCAGCACTCAATCATCAGCGTGCACATGGGAGCAAATCAGTGTATCCCTGCCCCCTCCACCCTTCACTTACAAAATCTGCCTCATACATTAACTTAACAAGGAAGGGGAAGATGCAATAAATTCGCCCCCTTGATGTGTACGCTGGTGCACTTAACTACTCGTTATCAACAAAGACGTTACTAGTGAATGACAAACGTGTATTAGTGAACACAATGATCACTTCAATAACTATATTTGCTAGAGAAATGGAAACAAGCCCTCAAAAGGGCGACAAGCAGCTGGAAAATTCTACAAGCGACTCTACGAAAAAAGAAGCCCAAGTCTGCTTACCATTAGCAGAACTGGCAACTCTTTACCGCTCATCTCTCATGTGCTGCCACTCAGACTTGCCGCCAGGTGTCACTGCTGGTGCAACTGCGCTATCCATGATTATGATGATGGTAGTAAAAACGCTCGCGAGCATAACGCCACCTACCACTCAATAGTTTTGGACCCGAAATGCGGCTTATGTGCGAAATACGTGCGCCACAAGGCACAAACAACTCTACAGGGGGTGTTAGAACCCCACAAGCTATACTACCACCTAAAAGCTTAACAAAGAGAGCTCAATTAAGAGCAGTGATACAACACATCTGCAACACTTGCAAAACATAAATGCATTAGACTGATGTAGTGAAGGACGCTAGCTTTGCTGTTTTATGGGTATCTGCCGAGTAGAGCTGGTTGTATTTTTTTTAACAATTATATATAATGTTTTTTAGGAAGAACATTGAGGGCAGATCACTTTCATAGTTACAAATTCAAAGTGGACCTTGCTCTGTTGCAAATAGAGGGGTGTTGTTTTTATTGGAAGTGCCACCTGACCAAGAGAGGAAGTGTTGGTAATCACAAGAGAAATTCGGCACTTTAGACCTCTAGCATGAGCTTTACAGCGTCAGAGAGTGTAACTAAATGTGTTTATCAAATATATTGATGGGATTAAGTTATTCAGCAGCTACTGTATGCCATATAATGATATTCTACAATACAGTGGAAAACTCGAGAAAAACCAACTTACGGCTACAACTTGCCTGTATGAAAATTGACACAACAAAGCAGGCTTTGTGACAATCCTCGAATAGTTGAATCTTAAATGAGGCAAGTTCCCTCTAACGACTCCAGGGTGCATGAACTGCTTGACCCCATCTACGAGAATCTTAAAATTAATTATGCTGAGGTTGACATGATAAATGTTTAATGAGAGCATCATCATCTCTGATGAGGACTTCCAATCAGAGTATAAAGTAGTTTTAGGGTATCAAGACAACATGACACTTGACCTTATTTTACTGAGCCTGTTAAAGGTCAACTCCAGCAATTTTTTTATCATGTAAAGGTAATAGTTCTTTTATATTTCTGAGACACACTTGTCACATGCCCGATAGATGAAATGCTGAGCCAATTCGTAAACAATTTTTAATAAGCAAATAGGCACAATGCCGAAACCAAAGTCCAACTGAGTGTACTGTCTAGATGTCAAATCTATAGAAGTCAAATGGTCATGTCCATTCTTGCATTCTTGCAAGGGGAAACAGCAAGGAGCAGCCTTATCTTAACAAGGCCTATCCTAGAGCTGTACCTGCTAGAACATTGTGATTACCTTCACCGTGTGGCTAGGATTATCGTTTCAATCGCAAGGGCCAGTGACCCAACAGAAGATAAAGTGTCATCAATCATGAGAGGAGAAAAAATCAATCATGAGAGGAGAAAACGGCGACTCTGTACTGCTATCCGTGTCTTTGCAGCCTCAGTCTGCAGCCTCAGTTCATGAAAAGCCTTTCTCAAATATGTTAATAGGGTTGAGTTGTTATACACCATATTCCTCAGGCCTATAAAAAACATTGTTAACATTTTTAATGATAACATTGTTATGTGAGTGCTAACGATCTATTCACAACAAAATTTTTAATGGTTTTGTACATGTAATTTCATAGCCCTGGTGCTTTGTTGTTGCTGTAGCCTTTGCACTATTAAACCCTAGCAATAGTAATTTTTTCTATTTCATGAACTATGTCAAGCCCTCAACTTTAGCCATTGTTACTTAAACTTGAAAGTAGAATACGTTGGCAGCGACACTCAATTTTACTTGTGCACCACGCTTGCATTTAGCCTTTCATTGTCCATTACATTAACCCTTTCTGTGAAAAAATTTCTTTTCAAAAGCCATCAGTATTAATGCAAATCTTTAATATATTATTTATAGTGTATTGTGTCCATTAACACTATAATCTTACCAGTTTATTTGTTACTTTATTTTATGTTCCTGTCAAGGATTTTCTCATGTCTGAAAGTATCATATAGGAAAGATTACAGAAACAATATAAAGGGTGATGTTTCTTGGAATGTATGCATGCTTTTTATTAATTTTTTTTATTTGCAGTGCTGCTAAACCTAGTGACCGGGGTCCTTGTAAAGTGGCACAGAAAAACATGCATCAAAGCATTGGTCACTAAATATATGCATAGATTTAACATGAGCACCATTACTTTATATTTCATGTCACTACACAAAAAAAGCAAAAACAACATCAATATTACAATTGTTTATCAACAGATACCATTTGTGCTGACAATAAAACTAAGTTTAACATCATGTTGCATCTTGAGCAGAGCAGGTTGTTCTCCTTTATGCAGTTCTATGGCTCGTACACCAAATTAAAGAGATAAAAGACACTGAAGATCATAATTTTTAAACTGGACCCACACCTGAATTGGTGAAACCTGTCCTTAGCGCAGGAAGGTTTAATCAGTGCTATTATGTGTGCACTCAACATGTGCATTTATTCCTATGTCTTGCAAGCTGTAGTACTTTATAACGTTGTTGTTCACTAGTTCTTTGAAAGCAACAGATATGCCTTTCTTGATCTAGTCAACTTTCACTTAATTACGGTAACTTCAGTGACGAGTACTTAGTGGCACGGTTGACTTATTTAGTAGTTACTAAAATTAGAATTTGTATGCCTGCAAACCTCATCTTGTGTGACAAAACCGTTATGAGGGTAAACTGCAGTTAACATTTTATTTTATCTCAAAAGGTTCTTTCTTCATAATCGCTTCGTGGAAAAGGTAAAAAATTTAAGGTGCAGTATATATTCCATGTAATGCTGGTGAAATATTTGTTCCTTAGCAGACTGCAAATGTAGAATAAGTATTTTCACAGGAACTTGAGATGTGTTTCAATAACTTGATTTTTATGAATAAGTGAAATCTGTAATGGTTATGCAATTTGGAAAATGGGAAGCACAATAAATAAAGCGCCTTTATGAATTTTCCAACTAATGATGCTGAAACATTTCATCTGGGAAAAAACACTGCCCTATTGATGTTCTCCACTCAGAATTTTTTCAGACTGGTTGACAAAGTGATGAAAAGCCAGCAGTAGCCTTTCACTGGTGTTAAGGCTGTTTCTTACCTTTTGCTGTTCTTAGCATGCTGGAAGCTGCCCCTCTCCAATGACAACGGGAATTCTCGGTGCCATGCTGTGATTTTATGTTTTCTTATATTTCCTTATGTACTTTGATAACCACGGCTGGTTTAGGTGCACAGCTCATTTCTCACTTGGTTTGTTTTCTCCGCGGTAATTTTTTTTCCCCTTTGGTACGCTTTCACCACTGCTCTGCTCACTGTTGCTTGGGCTGTTTATGAGGTTTTGTTCACTGTGGTAGTTGAAGAAAACCATTCGGCAGTCTAAAACATTCATATGTTGACGTTTCAGTGGAAGAAAACCATTGGGCGGTCTAAAGCATTTATATGTTAACGTTTCACCGGAAGCATGGCAGGAATTTTAGTCGCCAACAGGAAATTACAAGTAAATATTTAAGCTGGGTTCTACATCCTGTGATGTGTGTGATGGGGTAACATGCAGTATTTGTAGCCCAGATGTTTTTGTAGAGCAGCGTAAATGAGTGATACCCACTGTAGTGGCTCTGTGGTACATGCACTTGCTGCTCAGCAGGGAAATGTGGGATTGATTTCTCAGTTACTGCAGCCACATTATAACAGCGATTGGGCAGGATGAGAATGCCTATGTGCTGAGCTTCACATGCGCATTCAAGCAATTCAAGTAGCCATAATTAATGCAAAGTCTTCATTATGGTATCTCTGACAGCTTTCGTAATATTTCATACCTTGAACCTGACCTATCACTCGATAACTGGCCGTAACCTGCTGTAACCCCCAAAAAGAGTTGCAGAATTCTAAGTATGGTGCACAGAGAAAAAGAATGTGCCAGGCACTGGTACCTTTGTATTTGTAGGTTAATGTAGAAAAGTGATTGATTGATTGATACATGGGGTTTAACATCCTAAAACCACCATATGATTATGAGAGACGGCGTAGTGGAGGGCTCCGGAAATTTTGAACCCCTGGGGTTCTTTAACATGCACCCAAACTTGAGCAGAAGGGCTTACAGCATTTTCACCTCCTCCAAAAATGCAGTCGCCGCAGCCGGGATTCGATCCCGTGATTTGCGGGTCGGCAGCCTAGTACCTTCACCACTAGAACACCGCCCCGCCGCGGTGGTCTAGTGGCTAAGGTACTCGGCTGCTGACCCGCAGGTCGGGGGTTCGAATCTCGGCTGCGGCGGCTGCATTTCTGATGGAGGCGGAAATGTTGTAGGCCCATGTGCTCAGATTTGGGTGCACGTTAAAGAACCCAGGGTGGTCAAAATTTCCGAAGCCCTCCACTACAGCGTCTCTCATAATCATATGGTGGTTTTGGGACGTTAAACCCCACATATCAATCATCATCAATCCACTAGAACACCATGGCGGGGCAATGTAGAAGAGTGATGCAGTTATTTTTGCACCTTGTACATGTATTATAAGTGTTTTTCTCACTGCCAAAATTAATACTAATGCTGCTGTCCATTAAAATAATGTATCATTTCATTAATAAGCGCTGGCAACAGCCACTGTTCTTAAGTATAGTACTTAGCATATAGAGCTGCGCCATATTACCAAATCTTGATGAAGCAGTTCAGTTATATGTTGTGGCAGTGACTTGTTTAAATTTATTTGCAATAGTTGTTACCATTGCAAATGGGTGACTGCATATTTTTATGCCTTGTTTTGCAGGAGCTGCTTGTGTATTTGTCTATGTTCATTCGAACAGAACCAGAGCTCTTTCAAGAGATGTTGAGGCTTCGTGTGGGACTCATCATTCAGGTCATGGTAACTGAGCTTGGGCGTTCACTCCAGTGTTCTGGTAAGTGTTTTGTACGAGTATAGCTTAGGACTTCGTGTAGTGTGTGGCTTCGTGTAGTGTGTGGCTTCGTCTGACCACTCAGTGTTTTCTTTTCAGCTGATGAAGCATCCGAGTACCTTCTCAACATGCGACCATTTCAAATGAAAATGCTTTTGCGGCAAATTCTGAGTGGCAAAGAGTTTGTCATATTCAACAGTGAGTACCTGTGCTGATTTCATTGCGTGCTCTATAAAGACTTGGTCTTGAAGCTTTCAGTTTCAGTTTATTGATGTTGTTGAGGTTTTAATAGTATCATTGATTATTGAAGAAAGCCATAAATGTTTACACTGCATGTGGACATACAAAAGAGCTGAAAACGTGTGTGGAATCTTTTGTAATTGGCTGCTCAGTAGCATGCAAGAAGCAACTGAAGGCTGTGGAGTGATTACAAGCAGAGTAAAAAAAGAGCAAATCGAAATGGTAAAGGAACAAAAGCAAAAAGCATTCACTATGGTAATAAGCAACTGTATTTTTATAATAAACAAACCAGACTATAATAACAAAGTATGATAGTACAAAGCGAGTAGTGAATGGAAAATACTATAGCTTTTACTACAGACTGCATGGTTGGAAAAATAAAGCGAAATAATGGTAACTTACATGGAATTGTGTATGCAAAAAAAGCTGGTTCATGTATGTGCACAGCGTATGATAACAAAAAAGGGTACTGGATAGTCATCCAATGTCAGTTTCATCTCAGATTGAATATAGATTGTGGCATATACTGGTTTAGTCCGGAAAGCAGTCTGACTGATTTCTCCCTGCAAATACATGGTGAAGGAGGGGGATGTTCTTGTGCTGGTTGGGTGGTGGGGGTCGTAGCTACCAGCGCACTAGTCGTCTCATAGCCTGCCTGGAATGTATATCGAGTTTAAGGTGAACCCCTTTAATTGTACCTTGTCATCTCGACAATGTATGGTTTATCAGGGCAGCGTGTGCGGTGAAGTTTTGCATGAAACTCGGCAAAACTGTTAGTGAGACCCATGGCATGATCAAGACTGCTTATGGTTGCACTGCTGTGCGCCAATAATGTGTATTAGAGTGAGACAAATTGTTTCCGGGTGGAAGAGAGCTAGTTAAAAATTAGCAATGGTCAGAACAACCTTCAGTTACTAAAAGTCACGAGCCACACCACCATTCCTGTGATGGACTTCCTGGCCATGCATGGCACCACACAGCTTCCCTAGGCACCCTACAGACTAGATGTCGCTAGTTCAATTTTTTCCTCTTCTCCCAACTTGAAAGGATCATCAAAGGACAACATCATGGCTCAGTTTAGGCCATTCAAAAGGTCGTAGCGAGAGAGCTGAAGAGCATTTTTGTTTCTGCATTCCAGGGAGCCTTTCATCTTTGACAGTCACTGGAAGCGCTGTTTTAATGCAGGATCGGCATTTAAAAATATTAAGTTAATGTGCCTAAATTGTCAATACTTTTTTCTAAAAAGTTTAGTCCTACAACTTTCCATGCAAACCGTGTGTATCAACGAATGTGCTAACAGACCCCGTTTATATTCAAGAATGAGTTTATACATGCCTCTGCTGGCCAACACAGCAACAGCATCACTGTGGTAGCCAGAGTATCTAAATTTGGTTTCACTTATAGAATACTAAACGCCTTGAATTGTTTTTTTTTTATTACAATGAATAGCTGCCATCTTTCTTGTATTCGTTATCTTTCTTGCATAGCTGGCCAAGCAGGCCTGCAGTTTGTGCTAGTTCGAGTGCTTTGGTACATACTCAAGTTACAAGGAAGGTTTATTTGTGTATCAATTTTTTTCAGGCAGCGATGGCATAGTTTCTGTGCAAGGCAGCAAAATAAATAAGGTATGCGCCTATTTATTGTTCAATCTATTTGGCATTCTTGTTTCATTGATGAAGCAACTACATGAAAGAATTTTCAGGCATTTAAAGAAAGTACTAGCACACTTGAAAAAGGTAAAATGTAGAAATTTATGACTTATAGTGTACATAATATGCCAGCAGTGAAATTCAACATGCCTGGCTGATCATTTATTTATTTACTCTATTTGGAGCAGTTCACCTTTTATAGTAAAGTATTTATCTTCCCAATGCAGCTTTGAAACGCTACTTCAAATTTGAAACACTAGTTCAAGTCTGAAGTTTCTGTCTTTTGTATAAGCGTGTTCCTTGAAAACAAAAAATGATTGTTACTTTATTCAAAGATTGCTTCTAGCAACAGTAGTCCTGTTTTGATGGGGAGTGGTTCCTAGTTCAGTAAAGCACTCATGTGGGCTAGTTGGTAGAAGCTTGATATATGTGGTGGAATATTGCACTGCATGGGCGTAATAGGGCGAACACTAACCTGTTCTGCTTGTGTTTTGTCTGTGCCATCTGTTAGTGGTAGTACTCAAGAGGCCTATTGAAACTTTATCACCTAGGAATGCCTGCTGCTCTTGGGGTAGGGCAGGATGTTGAAGATATAATAAACTTCTGGCTGAGTTCTTCCGCACCATTTAACCTCTTAGAGTTCACATTTTTTGGTGCTGGAAACCCACGTGTGGACAAGTCTTCCTTTTACGCACGGCGAACAGGGCTTCTACTCTCGCTTCGTGTCGGGAGTGGCGAGAACTCAGCGGATTGTGAATGGGGGGATCAGTGTTGCCAACGATGTCAGCCAGCAGTGGAGCTCTCCCAATGGATTGACTGAAAATCAAGTGATCTGCACGACGCGCTCAGAACACGAAGATTATTCACGAAGCATGCTTGACTCCACTAGCGTCGCCATCACGAAGCTCGCATCTTTAAAGCAACGACTCTCTGCTAGTCATGATGGGCTCTCGCAGATAAATGAGCAATATGAGCAGTCTATCCCGATGGAAGGTATCAAAGAGGAGTATATAACTACAGCAGAATACCAAGATGCTGAAGCAGTCAGCATGCTCATCGAGATAGGTAGCAGAATATCCCAAATGGAACGAGCTCAGACCGGCCATGCACAAGCTGCCAGTAGCGAAAACACAGAATTAATGGCTCTCAGGCACGAGGCGCCCACAAGGTTTATGGCACCCAGGTTGCCGCAGCTGAACATTCCAACGTTCAAAGGTGACTTCTCTAGCGGACAGGCTTCTGGGAGCAATTTGAACAGCTTATTCATCTGAACAATGACCTGACGCTATCCTCTGAATTCCACTACCTTAGAAATTATCTGTCTGGTGTTGCAGCAACAGCGATTGCAGCTTTTTTGCACGACCGAATCTTGCTACGTCGACACCATAGGTATGTTGAAGGAAAGATTCGGCGATAAAGAGACAATTATCCAGCACCATCCGATGGCACTGAGAAATCTCCCTAGGGTGACCTTGGCTAACGACAACGTGGTTTACGAAAATTGTGTAATGCTCCGCTGCTTAATAGTATTCGCTTTCTTGGAGCCCTGAACATGCTGACACTGATATATTTGGCTATTCTTGTCAGCATCTTGCAAACACTTGCAACAGGCTCTACTGCAAGACATCAGTCTTTCCTTCACTTGAGAAAAACGGCACCGCGCTTTGACACAGTCATTTGACGTGTGTCCTGCTCTACTTCCTTTGTCAGTTTCACCAGCAGATGTGTCAGCTGCATCGGACGCCTAGCTGAATGATCTATTACTGTTCATACAGGAGGAGCTCGAAAGCAGAGAACAGCATGCGTTCTCAAGTCAAAGACCTGCCACGAACATTCGCACGGATAAGGTGCATAGTGATGTCCCTAGGGCATCCGTGATGCACATTGCGAATATCGCAATGTTGACATTTTCTTCCACCGTATTGATCCTCAAGGGATGTGCAGCTGCAACGCTGATATTCCTCTTGTGGTCAAGAAAGAGCAGCTGCAATAAGACAACCGGTATTTCTACTGCCCATCAAAAGGCCGCCAAGCGAAGGAATGCCACGTCAAGCTCACCTGCAGTTTCTGCGGCGGAAGACACGCTTCAAGCATGTGCGACCCCAATTACTTGAGGGTTTCGACGGCAGGAAGTGCCACAGTGTGTGTTTCTTCAAACATTCTTTCTTCATGTCAAGATTCATTGTACACCATCCAACCAGCTAAAGACAACACGGTCTACCTCCAGACATTTCTCATTGAGATAATCAACGACCATGGAAAAACACTGTGGCACAGTAGCACGACCATAGCACTGCCATGCCAAAATGACCACAAACGCATGGGTGACGAACTCATCGAACGGCAAGTTCTAATGACGATAAACCATGATTTGAACATGGCAAGGCGAAAAGACAACAGACTTGTTCAAACTTGGAAGCAGAGATTATCTGTCGACGACTTGCAGCGAAGAGCCGACACTATTGACGAAAGACAAAATGCGTACAACACAAGGCCAAATGCGGACGACCCCGAAACAAACTTCAAAAAATTGAAGACAAGCCCTTTGAGGATATCTAATTTCTCTCCTAGATACCCTTGCGTGCTTACTCGTCTGGAAGTCTCTCCATTCTCATCTGGAACACTGCTCATGTGACCCATAAACTTGGCCTCAGAATGCTGGAAATGATTCTATCGTGAAGCTATGCTATCATCAGGACCCTCACTGTTGGGAGATGGAAAAGGAAGTATCTTAACCTTCATATGGGTATCATATGTACGACGGAGAGCAAGCTGATCGGCCCGTAATTCTTCCAAGTCCTTGTCACCTTCTTTCTTATGGATTAAGATGATGTCAGCATTCTTGCGAGATTCTGGTACCCTCCCCGTCAGCAGACACTTCATAAAAAGCGTGGTCAGTTTTTCTAACACAATCTGCCCTCCATCTTTTAAGCAGATCAAATGTTACCTGACCCACGCCAGCAGCTTTGCCTCTTTGCATTCCTTCCAAGGCTTTACTGACTTTTTCTGTCATTACTGGTGGGATGTCATCTGGGTTAATGCTCGTTCTTACATTATGGTTGTCATCGTACCGGCTACTGTGCAGATCTCTGTAAAACTAGTCCGTTATTTTAACTATCCTATTCATATTGGTACTTACTTTGCCTTAGTGCATACGCCTGGTTTTCGCCTATTCGAAGTATCCTCTTCACCGCTTTATTTCCTCCGTTTTTTGTGGCATGTTCAATCCTCTCTATGTTATACCTTCATACATTGGACACCTTACGACTATTAATCAACTTCGGAAGCTCTGCCAGTTCTATTTTGTCTGTTATGATTGAGGCTTTCATGCTTTGCCGTTTCGATAAGAGCCGAGTATCTGTTCTTTGTAGCCTACGTAGATTATGAGAAGGCATTTGATTCAGTACAGATATCAGCAGTCATGCAGATGCTGCAGAATCAGGGTGTCGACAAAGCATATATAAAAATTCTGGAAGAAATCTACACCAGATCAACTGCCACTATAGTGCTCTATAAAGAAAGTGACAGTATACCAATCAAGAAGGGTGTAAGACAAGGGGATACGATCTCCCCAATGCTATTTACCATGTGCTCACAGGAGGTTTTCAGAAGCTGAGAATAGGAAGAGTTGGGGATACGAGTTAATGGAGATTACCTTAGTAACCTGCGCTTCACCGATGACATTGCATTGTTGAGTAACTCAGGGGACGAATTGCTATTGATGATTACTGAACTAGACAAGGGGAGCAGAAAGGTTAGGTCTTAAAATTATTCTGCAGAAAACGAAAGTAATGTACAACAACCTTGGAAGAAAAAAACGTTTCGAGATAGGTGTTTCGAGTGTGTCTGCTGTACAACCTTGGCTTTTGCTGGTAGAGTAGACAGTAATTAAATAAGAACCTTGTCCCACATTTATGGTACGAGTACTGATGTTCATAACTCACAGAAAGGTACATGATGAGGTGAAAAATAACTTTTCTTATACGTGTTCAAAGTCTTGTGTCAATATTATCAATAAATAAAACGGTTGGTGGCCGAGTCTTTTATGATAGAAATCTGAAGTGGAAAATCGGCTGGATTGTGTGAAGTAAAAAAATGAAATATATAGAAACTGAAGTTTCAGGAATTCTTATTTTGCTTTTACTGTAGAATGCTTGTACTGTCAAAGCTCATTAAAACAAAGTTGAATCTGATATGAAAATACTTATTACATCCAATAGTTAGTCTCATTTATAAATTTTCCATTTACTGATTTTTTATATCGGTGCTTGAATGTATCATTATATTAACACTTCACATTTTTAGAACATTGCTCTGGAGCAACATGAAAGAATTCGGAGAGCTTGATCAAGTGAAACTGTGCACATACAGACAATGCACAAACATTGATGATGGCCCCGCCACGGTGGTCTAGTGGCTAAGGTACTCGACTGCTGACCCGCAGGTCGCGGGTTCGATTCGCGGCTGCGGCGGCTGCATTTCTGATGTAGGCGGAAATGTTGTAGGCCCGTGTGCTCAGATTTGGGCGCACGTTAAAAAACCCCAGGTGGTCGAAATTTACGGAGCCCTCCACTACGGCGTCTCTCATAATCATATGGTGGTTTTGGGATGTTAAACCCCGCAAATCAATCAAACTTTGATGATGCTTACCGTAATTACTCGAATCTAATGCGCACCTTTTTTCCGGTTAAGCGAGTTCATAAATCGCATTCGCGTTAAAATCGAGTGCAAAAAAAAATGAATACGCTCATTATATTGCCATCGGCATTTCCAAAATGGCCGTCTCCTACGTGCTTCGGCATGGCGCGTCGGCCATTTCTGCTTATGTGTTTCCCATGTGCGGCACTTCGTACGTGTGATGAGGAGTTCGTCATCTTGTAGTTCATTAGCATCGACGGCATGGAAGGGCAGACTCCAGAAACTCGACGAGTGCACCACGATGCCGCTATTAAAAGAAAAGTCATCGCATGTGCCGAAACAGACGGAAATTGGGCTGCATCGCGGTCGTTCGGAGTTTCCGAAATGTGCGTATGGGACTGGCGAAAACAAAAGCAGAAGATTGTGAAAGATTCATGCAAAGGCTTCAGTGGACCACAGCAGGGTCGGTTTCCGCAAATTGAAGAGCTGCTCGCCGAGTATGTGCTTGAGCAGCGAGCGGCCCGTGACGACAGAACTGCTCTAAGTGCGGGCTATACAGTTGGTGCAGCTGGCTTTAGAAAAAGGGCTAACCCGGAGCCAGTTCAAAGCGAGCAGGTGCTGGGTAACTAACTTTATGAAGAAGAAAGGCTTTTCCCTCCGAAAGCGAACGGGCATGCGCCAAAACTTGCCGGAGGAGTACGAAGAAAAGCTTCACAGTTTTCAGAGGTTCGCCCTAAACTTGCGGCACAACAACGCCTACCTGCTTGGGCAAATCGGGAATGCCGATCAGACGCCTCTTTACTTCGACATGCCTGGCACCACAACCGTCGAGAAGAAAGGGGCGAAGCAAGTTTGCATGCTGACATGGGGTCACAGTAAAACAAGAGTGACGGCAATGCTCCGTTGCACGTCAGATAGGCACAAGCTTCCCCCGTACCTCATATTTAAACGGAAGACGCTCCCGAAAAGAGCCGTTTTCCCGAGTAGTGTGATCGTGCGGGCCAACGAGAAAAATGCGTTGCAATCGATGTCTTACTTTTTTTTTCGTCGTGAAAACTGAGTGCGCGTTACAATCGAGGGCGCGGTACAATCAAGTAAATACAGTAATTATTCTTTTCTTTCAAGCTCTGATTAGTATGTACTTGTAACCAGCTCTATGTTATTGCTTTGATGAAAGTTGTTTAATCAGTTCTTTAGCTGATTAAAACACCCCTTTTTTTCATCTATAATTTCAGCAAGCCCTACAGCATACTATGAGAGATAGTATGGCTACAGGTACAAAGAAGCAGGATGAAAATTTTGACCGCCAAGGTCAGTGGATCCGTAGACGAAGACTAGATGGTGCTCTTAATAGAGTGCCTATGGGCTTTTACCCAAGAGCCTGGAAGTTGCTAGAGAGGGTGAGTCTACAGCAGGCACTTGTGGTGTCATCTTTGTTAGGTTTGTCACGGGATACATAAGACTTTCCAGGTGTTAAATTCCAACATTTTTTCCTTGCAGTGTGTTGGCCTCTCTATAGAAGGTAAAGTTCTCTCTCAGCACCTGACGAGAGAGGTTTGTAAAATTTAATTTCTTGATATTTTTATGCTTCTTTTATTTTTTACTGTTTCAACTTAACTAGCTTCATTGTTAAGTCTGTAGATGCCTTGCATTATTATTAAATGCATGATCTTATACAATCACTGGGCTTTTATCACCATGCTATTGCTTGTAGTGGGATGGAGCATGCATTACAGAGTATGAATGCCTCATTACATGCCTACGAACTATTATGAAACATTTACATACAGTAAACCATTAGCATAATTAAGTGAACAGGACATTAAAAAAATTTTGATTTAACTCTTAGAACTGTATCTTGTCTCCATATTTTTGTTCATGTTTAGATTCATGTTTACCTGCAATACTCATGACTGTTATTCCCATCCTGTTATAATCCCCTAAAAGAACTGCACTGTTTACAAATAAAATAAATAAATGAATATAAGAGCAGCCCACTGCGTTTTAGCTCACATCCCCGACGGACCTAACGGTTTTCCATACCATACCATATCTAAGTGTTAATTTGATAAGAGCAACAACTAAATGAAAGCTAGATATATTGTGCCCGAATCGCACAACTATGAGGAAGTCTAAATGTGAGATAACTGGGAGAAGAAAACTTTTATTGAAATACAAAAAGGGCAGTCAGCCTTGTCTGTCTCATGTTTTCACCAGGCGCAAGCGATTCCCTGCTCCCCTTTACTCATGCATTATGCATTACACGAGGTCACAGTTGCCATTCACACCTTTAAATTTGTTTACTCGGCTGCGGACCCGCAGGTCGCAGGATCGAATCCCGGCTGCATTTCCGATGGAGGCGGAAATGTTGTAGGCCCGTGTGCTCAGATTTGGGTGCATGTTAACCCCAGGTGGTCGAAATTTCCGGAGCCCTCCACTACGGCGTCTCTCATAATCATATGGTGGTTTTGGGACGTTAAACCCCACAAATTAATCAATCACCTTAAAATTTGTTCTGCAGCAGACAGAGATACTGTATAGTCTGCGCCATGCTGGACATTTCATTTGGCTTCTCATCCATCGGCTCTCTGTCGGGCCGCAAAGAATGGTCACTGTGAACTCTCCCTGTATCCATAGCTGGAGCGACAAGAGAAACAGCACCATAAGCCAACTTTAATGAGTCAAAGTCGCCTTCCACTTTTTCACTGACAATTCTATGCACCGCCTCTTTGAGATCACTTCAAGTCTCGTCATCATTGTCACATTCCCTGGCATTTCCGCAGAACTAGCGCGTTGCTCAGGCTGTGCCGCCAAACTCCATTAGTGCGAGTTGTGGTTGGGTGACCTTGAGCTAGCACAACGCATGCTTCGCAAAGTTGTATACATCTTAAAGAGAGCAGGTTTTTGTGCTACGCAGTTGATTCTTTCTTATAAATGACACCATAGCTCTGAAAAGATGGGATGTGAGAGAACAGTTAGTGCCCATCATGTCATCTTTCGTGTCCCATCTTTCTGGTGCTATGCTGTCATTTATAGTATATCCGTAGTATCTGCCCATTTCTGTGCGCACTATTTTTTACCCCGGTCACCTGCTCTACGCCACCTGACCCCAAACATGGGTTTAGCAAGGAGGAAAAGGGATCCCCAGAATGGAGGGAGGCAGATTGAGACTTCTCTCATTAGGGCTAAAGTCTCTCCATCATGTCCGCTGCTGCTTTTTTTTTCCCTTCCTCGTTTGTGCGCCCCAGCAATGGTGACAGACATTAGGCAGAAAGGGCTCGGTGTGACCACTGTCACAGGGGCTGCATCTCACCAGTTTGCTGTAATCATAGTGAGTGATTAATGTGATTCGCCAAATGTGGCTTATAATGCATGCATTTTAGTTGGAATGGACCAAAATTTCCATCAAAGTGATAATTTGAATAAATCACTGGCATTCTAATGATGGTTTACTGTATTTATATGTTAAAGTAGGCATTGAAAGGATCCCTTACGGTGCTTTATGACAAGTGCACTCACTGATCTCATTACAGTGCATGTATAGCCCACAAAGCCAAATCCGTCTGTGCATTGTGATAGGCATACATACAAGCAGTTCACTTGGTGCTGAAACAAATTAATAAACTGCCCTTGTAGGACATGCATCATGTACGCGCGCATGCATGCAGACACACTGTAGCTAGCAGACAATGCTGGAGGTCATTGTCAAGTTAAGCATTTTGTGTATGCATTGTTAAGCATTTTGTGTATGCATTTTAAGCATTTTTGTGTGCATTGTTAAGCCAGTAGCCAACAGGCAGCTACTGTGCTTGATCTTGCAGCCAATACAGACACCGAGCCTATAATTACGTATGCCTTGTCAGCATATCCACTTCCTCCTGCCCACTCCCTTGTTCTGTGCGTGTGTGTGTGCATTTGTCATTTCGTCTCTATGCGAGATGAAAATTTTTTCTACTCCTGTGCTGTAGCTCAATTTTGCCAACCATTTTTTGAGTGTGCCAAGACTAAGCAGAAATGAAAATATCAACTAGTTTTTCTAAATTCTACTGTAAAATTACAACTTTCACAAAAATTAGATCACATCAAAACATTGTAGATGATTTTAAACCCTAAAAATATAAGCTACCAAATATTATCACATTTACCTAAATGTTTTACATTACTCTAGCATCCATGCTGGTATGTAACATACAGTGAATTTCATCATGCATTTTTGTAAGTTTTATTTAGCACTCCTGGAAAGGGGCAGCTATATTCTGTTATAACTAGGTGGCATGAAGTGCTACGATTGTCTCTGAAAAAAATACAAGCTTTTATAATAACATGGAGGTCTCAAACTCGCTCAGTTAGTGGACTGCACTCACAAAATTACATCTTGCACAGGCCGGTTAAGTGAAAAAGGTCAGAACAGGAGGGGGTTGCAGAAGGGTTGCTTACGTTGCCATTTGAATTAAGAATGTTCTTTATATCTTATGTAAGGGTTATTTTTGAAGTGGATTTGGCATCAGGATCCAAGAAACATGTTAATACTGATTGCCAGAATAATTAAAATCTGGACGTGATTATGAAACATAGTGTTTTTACTCCACTGTTATATTTCAACAGATTGCGACTACATGGGGCACTTTAAAAGATGCTTGAGACCAGTCATATATGTATAGCTTTCCTGAACAAAATGCTATTATTAATTTTTGCAGGCAAGAAAATAATGTGAGTAGCATTTGGCCTAGTCACAATACTTTATTCCTTCTAGAGTACAATAAATTCTCAATTTACAAACACACTGGTGGGATACCTGGCACAGCTTAGCTGCTATGAGAGAAAAAATGTTAGCATTAACTTGTGTGAATACTCATGGTCGATCAAAGGTGTTCGGCCATCAGGATCTTGATTGGAGAGCTGACTTGTTGCTGAAATAGACAGTCATATGTGTGATAAGCTGTTTGTGCCTAGGACTTGCACAATCTTCATCAAGTGAGACCTGCACTTCATTTGTGCTGGCCAGTAATGGCTGGCTGTTCAGCTTCCGTTTCCTTTCTTATGTAACATGTACATGCTCCAACCATTTCAGCTGCACAGTAATGCTGGCTTTGTTAAAATAAACGTATACAGATGCCCATTAGAGAGGAATTCAGTATTTGAATTCAAAACTCTGCTTTTCTTACCACTGTTCAGTGCTTTTGAATCCTAATTTTTCTAGAATGAGGAGTTAAATGTTTCCTAATGATCCCTAGTAAAATACATTTAATTTCAGATGACTCAGGGTGAGCTCAAGTTTGCCCTGGAGTTTGAGCATGTGCTGAACTGCATCCCACAGCCAGAGTATCGTCAGCTAATGGTCGAAGCCATCATGGTGCTTACTCTTCTGGCTGAGCATAATGTTGTCACTTTTATCAACAAAGTGATAAGTGTGGATGGCCTCGTGCAGCATGCCTACAAGGTGTTCTTGGATGATCAGGTGAGCACATTGTGTGTGTGTGTGTGTGTGTGTGTGTGTGTGTGTGTGTGTGTGTGTGTGTGTGTGTGTGTGTGCGTGCATGCGTGTGTGTGTGTGCGCATGTGTGTGTGCGCGCACGCACGTGTGTGTGTATGCACGTGGCTAGTGTTGAATGAAGAACATGCACTCCTCTTCTGCATAGGAATTAATTTCACATTCATTCTTTTTCAGAAACTTTGCAATGGTGATGCCACCCTATGTTGTGCCACAGATGGTGTCCCTAAAGCCCATTGCAACAAAGTGGCAAATCTTTGCCAGCACTTCTATGACTCTGCACCTAGTGGTTGTTATGGTACCATGACCTACCTCATAAAGGCTGTGGCACAGACAGTTGACGACCTACCCAACACAAACCTTGACTGCACAATTAGTTAAACTCACTACAGTAAGACAATATGTTAACCACTCTGTGTTGATCCTTCGTGTCATTACGTGTACTAAGAATAATTTGACATTGTATATATAAATATAGAAAAGTTGAATGTGCATATACAAAGTTTATTAAAGAGACTGAAGCAATGAAAGAAATTGGCAAAAGAAAAAAAGTTTACACTGCATTGTTCAAATGAAAAAAGCCTGTTTCAACATGATGTCAGAGTGTTTATGGGAACTTAAGTTCTTTCTGGAGCAGAGCACACTTAATTCCTTTGTTTCCAGAACTAAGGGGGTCACTACGATACACTCAATTAACAACACAATAAAAACTTGACCTGATAGAATGTCTACATTGTGAACCCACTGTACTTATGCAGAATGTTTTTGGCAAGTTGTATTGTTGTCGACAGATTAACTTAAATAATCTTATTTACATATGCAGCACTGCTTAAAAACTTTTCAGAAATATATATGCATGTATTTTAGTCACGTGTTTTTTAACTATTGCTTGATTCATGTGGTGTTCCCACTGTACATACTCCAAAATTTGTAGTGTAACATCATTCAGCTGTTTTAGGAACAGTAATCTCTCTTTTTCGCAACTTAATCCAGAATTTATTGCTGTGGACCTTCTGAACGTGAAGTGCAGGGCCTTTAATAGAGTGACACATACCTTATCCTAAAAGTACTAGTTCTTTTGTGCCTGAGTCAACAGACCTTTTCCCAGGATGGTCTGGTCAATAGCTATACTATCAAAATTAAGGCCGGGCAAATTTGGATTTTATTGCTTGACAGTGTAGCTCTGTGATCATTGTGAAGAAAGCATTTTGTTTTACTCTAATCTTTACATCAGCTTATGTGAAAATGTATAATAATAGGTTGCATGTATTAACTTTTTAAAAGCAAGGTTCAGTTTTCTGAAGACTCCAGGAGGTTACTAAATGCTCTGAAGGTGCCAAAAGTTTATGCTGTTCAGCTTTCATGGGAAAGGAACGTTCCTAAGCAGAATTGGATGTGTATTCATTAAATAAAACAAAGATGATGCTGATAGCATGCAGTACCAGAAATACTGAGTCACAACTATAGGCCCAAGGTTTATACAAATTTATCATTTTTGCAGGTACTGCACTTTGATAACTTTTGGCATAAATTTTATGCCTGCTTAATAATACTATGTTTAATAATACTATGGTTGTTTACATTGTGAGCTTCAAGTGTATTCAGAACTCTTTCTAGTCTGTCTGAAGTTTTGCAGTCTGTAAGTTGAATTAAGGTTCATGTATTTTTTTGTTCAGAACATCATGTATCCTGCACTTGAATCAAACCACTTGTATGAAGGCACACACTATACAGGTAATATTGGTAGATATTGTTTTAGTGATCAGCAGGGTGCAGCAGCAGACAAAACAGCTGAAATACTGGGAAGCTTGCTTTCATTATGTGCAACTAATGACACAGGAATTATGGCAAGGAAAGCACAGGGGACATTATTTGTGGTTTCTTAACTTTAGTTTAATGATTCTCAATCACAATGAATTTAAGTAAGTGAACCGAGAACCTTTGAATTACCTATCTGATGCTTTACTATTTGAGCGACAATGAAGGGCATGCAATTCAAAGGTTTTGGGTTCGAATCCTAACAGCAGAAAAGGGTGGTTTTTCATTCACTTTAATTCCCCTTAGTATATCTGAGAATCATTACTCTACAGTCAAGAAGTCACAAATAACTACCTGTATGCTTTCCTTGGCCTGATTGTCTGTTGGATTCATGAGTTGCATATAATACAGAAAGGGAGCCCTTAGGACATTTCTCCCTCTTGCATACTTCAGTGAGTCTAGTAAGCTTTCGGGCCAGCCATCTTTTTTTAGAAGCTGTGCCAAAGGCAAGTGATGCAAAAATCGACTTTGTTTTCTGGAAAAGCCTGTTTTTACAACTGAGTGCATTTGAAAATTATTTTGTTGTCCTTCAGAGGCCAGATTAAAGTCAATGTCATAGCATTCTTTGGAGCTATTGTGTTATGAGTGAACGGAGCGAGAAATTTTGGCAAGCAAGAGAGCCTCTGCAACTACAGTGTTGTCATGATGATAGAAAGAAAGGGCAGTGTCAGTGTATACTGTGATGGTCAAGTCAAGTCAAGTTTATTAAATAGTTCAGTTGAGTTACATGGTTAGCGTTATTACAGCAGGAGGTCCCAAAGTTTCAGAGAAACTGACAGGGGGACCTCCTATGGCTACATGGATGGAGTAATTACTCAAAAAAAAAATACAGCAATAGTATACGGACTTGTGAGTAATAATGAATAATCTTGATTAACAATAAAATACGATCAATACACAACATAATGGTAATACTCACTATTGAAAAATAACAAGAAAATAGTCAAAAGCAAGTGAAGACAAAAAACAATATAATGAACTCTACGTGACAAATGCAACAAGTTTCATTATCAGTGTTATCAATTATACAAAGGCAAATTGAAGTAGTAAAATAGCACAAAACTGTGGAGAGCTATCAACAGTTAATTACACAAATCGGATGAGTTGATTAATTCCTGAACGTAATATTTCTTACTGTACGAAGTGAAAATATGGATGTTATGCGATGATTTCAGTTCGAAAGGCAATGAATTCCAAATGGCTATGCTAGTAAATAAGGTTGAGAACTTTCCGTAGTTTGTCCTTACGGCCGGCAAAAGAAGATTATTGCATTGGGAAAACCGGGTGATGTTACCATTAGTTAAGTGACGATGATCAATGCATGCAATAAAAATGTCATGCGTGATAAGTCTAAAGGCGACAATGGACATTCTATGACAAAATAATTGTCTCAATGGGAGTATGTCAAGCTGAGGAAACAACGAGCTGCAGGAGAAGTAAAATGGGCTGAAAGTCATTAATCTAACTGCTTGATTCTGAAGTCTCTGCAAACGTTTGATGTGCGTGAAATATGTGTTGGCCCAAGATGATACGCAATACGAGATATGGCTATGAATATAAGCAAAATACAAAGTATGTACTATGTGAGGCGGAAAATAAGTTCGTGTCTTGATGATAACGTGAATACCAAATGCAATCTTTTTAACGAGTGATACTGCATGTTTATGAAATTTTAGTTTGCTATCTAAGATAACGCCGAGAAACCGCGCTTCACTGGAAATGTTTATGACGGTATTACCAATGTGAAGGGAAGGTTGTATGTCAAGTGAAATGCGCGGGGAATGGAACAACATAAACACGGTTTTAGTAGCATTGATCTGAAGATAATTGGCCTGGCACCATATAGTTATGTTATGTAAATCTGTGTTGAGGTCAGACTAGAGTGAAGAAACTGATTTAGATGACTGAAAGATGGTTGTGTCGTCAGCGTAAAGTATGCACTTGGTCCTTGTAAGAATGGTAGGTAGATCATTAATAAACATCAAAAATAAAAGTGGGCCTAAAATTGATCCCTGTGGAACACCAACGTTAATTAACTTGGGCGTTGAAAGATGGCCATTAACATGAACCATTTGAGACCGGTTACTGAGGTAGCTCTGAATAAAACTTAGTGGCGGACCAGACATACCAAATGATTCAACTTTAGCAAGTAGAATGTGATGATTTATAGTGTCAAAAACCTTCGTCAAATCGATAAACACAGATCCCACAAGTAACCCTCTATCAATAGCTTGTTTAATTTCCTCCGTTAAGGTAATTAGTGCCAGCTCAGTTGAATATCCTTGACGGAATCAGAATTGTTGTGGAGATAAAAGATTAAATTTTTTTCAGATAACGCATTAATCTAATGTGGAATAACATTTCAATTACCTTACCGAAGAAAGGCAGGATACAGATTGGCTTATAATTCTGTACAAAAGTCTTATCACCCTTTTTAAAAACTGCAACTATTTTACCAGCCTTAAGGCAGCTCGGAAACACACCCGCTGAAAACAGCTTGTTAATAATTACTGCCAAAGGTGATGATATTAAGTTTGAAACTAGTTTTACTTTAAAAGGATCAATATTATCTAAACCAGCACTTATGGTCTTTAGTGATGTGATGACCTGAAGGACTTCATCTGCAGACGTGGAATGAAGATAAAAAGAATGAGTACACCGTGGTATATTGCGTAAATGACCTGGTGATTGCTGCGTATCCGCCGATGCGCAGAAATACTCACTGAACATGGCGGCCACTCTTACAGGGTCGGTATACACTTCGTTGCCTTGCTTTATTTTTATTGAGGGCTCTGAGCAGTTTTTCATGTTCAAAAATTTTTTAATGATTTCCCAGCAGCGTTACCTGTATTTTTTACAATGAGATTCCGGTAGTAATTGCACTTAGCACGCCTAAGTAAGGAAGATAATGTTGCTGAGTATTTATGAAAGCAGCATTTTAATGCGAGGTTATAAGGCTGCGACTTCAGTTTCTTATGAAGATTATTCTTTTTACTAATGGACTTCAACAACGAGTTGCTTATCCATGGATTTCTAGGTGAACGATACCAATTCGTGAAAGTGGTGGAAGTGGTGCATGCATCTATACCTGAAGCTATTACTTCTGAGAAAGACTCAAAAGCCTTTTCTGCGCAGTCTAGATTAGTCACCGATGTCCAATCTACAGTGCTAATTATTTGCACAAACTTGTCCGCGTCGAATCGGCGTTTCGTAAAGATGTTACTGGCCTTGGTATTTTCGGAGCCCAGAATGAAAAATACGGGATTATGGTCTGTAATGCTATGATCTATTACACCTGCAACGTGTTCAGTGGAAATGTTGAAGATGATATGATCTATTAGGGTATTCGAACCTAGTAAATCGTTTCTAGTTGGTGCTGAGATATGCGACGTAAAGCCATAGCAGTATAAACAGTTCATATATTCTAAGCATGATGCACTATCAGGATCAATAATGTTTATATTAAAGTCACCACATAAGACGTTTTTATTTTCCCTCACTAGGTTATTAAGAATGATGCTTAACTGATTACAAAAATCGGAATACGACGATGAAGGTGACCGATGAATGGAAGCTATAATAGTACTACGGCTATTCAATGGTATAACACTATGGTTGAATTCAAGCCAAACAGACTCACTTAAAATATTGTTGAAGGTTATGTCACTACGGCGTGTGTAGGTTAAGGATGAGTTGACAAGTATGGCACTACCGCCACCACGACAGAGCTCCCGATTACAGTATTCAGAATAATAACCTGGCAATCCGTACAAGTTATCCTCATTACCAGACAACGAAGTTTCAGATAAACATATGACAGAGAATGAATGTTTAAGCAAGGGATCACACATTTGTGTGATCACACATTTGTTTACTGAGCTTCTTATTCTCATCCCTCAGGACCTTGTTTTCTTTAGTTAGTGCCTCATTGTCATTCTTTACACGTTCACAGAGGTCATTGAACATCACAAGGCTTGTTTTCATCTCTGCGACCTCCTGCCGAAGAGCCTGTAATTCCTTTGCTAGTTCCGCGCAAGTCGGCATTCTCAAAATAAGTAATGAAGAAAAGTAAACTCAAAATACGGAACACAAGACACAAAATAAAAAAAGAAAATAAACTATATAAACTATATTAAAGGCAGCAGTGGAAACGAGAAAAAACGCAAAACAGAAAGGAGTGCACCGAGAAGCAACGAACCTGGACGGAGCGAACAGAATGGTCAATGTTGTACACAGCCGCAACCACTGCTGCCAAAATGACAAGCAATGGCAAACGATGGTCTATTTGTAGGGCTCCTTGTCCGGTAGATGGCGAACGTAGCGGCTGAAATTCAGTGACGTAGTTGCACGTGCCGAGGATACAGCAGCAGCAGCTAAGCAGTGCTGTCCAGTGAGCCGTGCAGATAAGATAAGGACGGAGCGAACACAAGGGTCAATGCTTGTACACCGACGCAACCAATGCTGCCAAAAAAAAAAAGTCTAGAAAAAGAAGGAAGGGCTGTAGCCAGGGGTGTTTTTGGCAATGTTCTCTCCTTCTTTCTCTTTTTCCCTCTTCCTTGGCTTTTCGTCCCCCCCCCCTTACTCCTTACTCAATGTAGTGTAGCAAACCAGATACTTGCTTTCAGTTAACCTCCCTGCCTTTCCGCATCTCATTTTTTCCCTCTCTCTCTTCCATGAACCATTATCATAATAATGACCCTCTCCATCAAGTACATCAGGCACTTCACCATGCAGCGTTAAGTTGTTCTGGAAGCGTAAACACTGTCACAATAGTTCTGGTTCGTGAACAGAGTAGAATGCATGTAAAGTTTTCACAACTTGTGCTTCCAGTTCTAGAGCGCAAGGGAAAGTCATATTCGATTACGAATATGCAGTAGATTCCAGGAAAATGATAGGTGTTCCGAGGTACATGGGCCCTAGGTAACTTCGTCATTTTTGCAGAAAAAAACGGAGAGCAGTAACCTAATTTCACCTTTTGTGGTGTTCATGTGCTCATGAATTGGTTTTTTAAACCTGTGGTACAACCACTTTAGCTTTGAGACAAATATCTGGGTTTAAAAATGTATGCTTGGTAGACGTTTTCAGAGGCTGTTATGCTGCTCCAAAGAGGTTTCAGCTGCTGCAGAAGGTGTACCGAAATGACTTCGATCAATTTTTTCACCGGACTTATCCCATTTTAGCGAGTTTGATACTGGGTGCATTTTTGGCAACAAAGGAAGGCCTGTGGCCTTTGAAAATATTGTGTGTGTGTTTTTTGCATATGTAAAGGTTATGCTTTTTCTTTAAGTAGCACTGACATCAAATTTCAAGATCGAGATGTGCCCATCATTTGATCGCTTGGTATGCATAGGTCTTCTTAGCCAAATTTGAACGGCATCCGTGGCGCGATGTCAAACAGCGTAGAAAAGCTTAGGAGAAAAAACGGAAAATGGACTGCCCTGCGAAATCGACACCAGTGCTACGTGTTCAGCGTGCTACCACAGAACACCTACCGGTGCTACATTCCACAAATACCATCCTGAGCACGACCTCCTCTATAAAGTTTATAGAGGAGGTCGTGATCCTGAGTGACGATGCCCTAGTAACGATGTCGTGTACGATCCGAGTGTTCTTATCGTGGCGCCGAAGCGCAGAAACGCACTCGTTAGTCGCGTCTGATTTGAATGATTTCGTGAAATTGTGAAGATAAAAACCACTTTTAAAACAACGGCGAAAGAAAAGAGCAT